GATATATTATATATATTTATATATATATATATATATATATAAGTCCATATGCCACGATATGTATTGCTGTATAATTAAAATAAAATCGTGCTGGTCATTTATCTCATACAGCAACTGATTCTGCTCTTCTCTAATTATATAAATTTTAATAATAGACAAATATCTTAGTTTGATACACTTTACATCTACAAAATTTGGTTTATTATTGATCAACATTCTATAATTAGTATTTAAGTATTACAGAGTATAAAATATACGTCGATTTAAAATTGAAAAAAAACAAATCCTTATTATAAAGTTTTAAAATAATCAAAAAGTAGCATTAATGAACTCGAAGTATAGACTCATAATAAAATGATTAATTATTCATTTTACTATGTGCAGACTGATGGTGATTGTAGTATTGCATATTTTATTGAACGGTTTTCTTTGCAAAGTTTAGTCTCTTTAATCTGTATTTTACGACCGTAACCACAGTTATATCACAGACTGGTTATATAGACTTTGTTTATGTACTGTCTCTAATATCGTAACCGTGCCGGGGCGCTTACAAACCAGGTCAATTTTCCCACTGTGACTAATAATATTGATAACAATTCATGTGAATCCCCGGCTACTCATAGTTATTATCTAAAAATTGATTAAGTTTTTTTATCAATGTAACTTTGTTATTATGAAACTTAAGTTTTTTTCAGATTATCGAAGGTCGTCAATTATATCCATGTTGGATATCTAATTTATTTAATTAGTATTTTTATTAATAAGCACTATTTTTTTTGCATTTGATAGTTAACAAATTCTGTTCTTTTACTGTAATTATTTTTATTTTTATTTAAGTAATGACGAATCCAAGAATTGAAGATTTTAGGGATCAAAATGTTGAAAGTCCGTGGAACGGATTAACATTTAAAATTATTGGAAAAACAGCTATACATCCCGTGGAATATGCCAAGTTTCTTATTCAGGTATGATTTTTAAGGTTTTTGTTTTTTACTTCTATAATACTGTGTGGGTAAAGTATCATTTATTGATGAGACTTGTAAGACTACTAATTTTTCCTACGTGTAATAAAATATTATTTTGATTCCATTTAAGTAACATTTGACTAAAATATTAATTTAGAATATTGTCTTTGTTAGATTATAAATATTACCTGAGTAATATTCAATATGTTATTTTTTATGTATTTATCTGGTATTATCTTGTTTTAAATTTATATTAAGAAAAAATAAATCTTGAAAATACATTTTCCATTTCTAAATATATGTATATACATTCAAGTAAAAATATTTAGAACCTATAGCTCTTTTAGTTATAAAAATTTTAATTAATTAATTAATTATAATTGTATGAAGATAAAATTGTATTACTTATTCATAACTACAGAAAGTTTTTTATTTTTAGATTGGTCATGAACCTATTCGACCTGTTCTGTATAAACCTATAATAGGAGAACCACGTTTAGTTCTTCCCAATGTATTTTCATATTGTAAGTTGTTAGTTAAATATTTATTATGCTAGTATATTATCTAAGTCTATAATATTCAGAATGATTTATCTATAGTTGACCACTAGATTTCTTCTAAAATAATAATTTAGAGAATTCATTTTTTGGTATATTTAAGCAATATTTATTTTTCAATTTTTGAATAGTTAAATATTTTTTAGGTTTATGCCTTATTTATTATACCAGTGTTAACTTAATTTTTTTAATTACAACATACATATTTAGTTCATATAACAGAAAATTATTTAATTAAGAATATGTCTGGGCAATAAAAGCTTTCGAACTAGTAGTTTAGGAGCTATTATGAGAGGAGTAGTGTGGTAGAGTAATGTTAAAAATAACCTAACCCAATCTTCGTCTTCATTCTTCATTTAAAAATGTTAGTTACATATAAATGTATTAAAGCTTTCATGGATTATTATAAAATTTGAAAATTCACTTTTCTGTGAAAATGTTATATGTGTGTCCTTTATCTTATTGTTCTCCTTTAAGTTGAGAACACTTTATATTAAAACACTATTTTCTATAGCTGGATATATTTAAAATGAATTTAATAAATATCTATTATCACTGAGATCTATAACCATAATTAGAAAAAAAATTTTATATGTATATTCATATATTTATATCATCTGTAGAACTTAAAATTTTGTCCTTGGTTTGAAATTATTTTGATTTAATGTTTAAGTAGTAAAATTTGTATTAATAATTTTTATTCTTTAGCTAAATATATATATCAAATTGATGGATTTAAAGGAATGTATAGTGGCCTTGCCCCAAAGCTTGTTGGTGTTTTTGTTGAACATTGTACTACATGGTTTATAACTAATTATGTCAAGTTGGAAAAAAAACAAATATTAGATACTGAAGAATCAGAATCTGACGCGTAAGTTATTATAATTTTTATATCGGTGCATGTTTCTTTCATATACAACTAAATATTCAGAGTGATATGCCATTTTAATTTACTTACTTTGCATCATAATTTTCTTATATATTGTATGGTTTCAAACTGTAAACCGTAATTTTTCTTACAACAATATTTTGCATATATCGTATGAATACTTAGCTGGAAAAAGTGGGCATTGAATACTTCAAAAGAGTTGTTGAGCACCATTGCAAGCAATATATTAAGTTATCCATTCCGCCTTATTTCTTTAAGAATAATGGCACAGTTTGTTGGTTTTGAGAAGAATTATACGTAAGCATTTATAAAATATTTATATTGATTTTAAAATATTTAAAGATAGAATTTTTTCTAGAATTAAAAAAAATTTTTTATCCCTACAGTGGTGTCCTAGGATCAACTATAGTGATCATTCGCCAAGAGGGAATTTCTGGATTATATTCAGGATTCTGGCCTCATTTAATTTTTGTTTCAAGTCATGTAGCCATAGTTAGCTTAATAAAACATGTATGTTCTCGATATCTGTTTGATCCTTCACCAATTGCTTTAACCATGACAGATTTAGCAGCTTCAGTAAGAGTTTATTAATTTTTTTTTTATTTATTGTCAGTGTAGGAAGGTATTAACCAAAAAAAAATGTATATTTTCAAACAATTTTATCCAATTATTTTTATTATTATGATTTATAATTTTGACATATTCATTTTTAAGATAAAAATGTCTTTTTTAGCATATTGCAACTACCATTACATATCCTTTGAATGTAGTGAGTGCTTGTATGACAATTAATGATTGTGGGTATGTAAAAAGAATATATTTCTAAAATTTAACACATTGATTCATTTTTAATTTTTTTTAATTTTTAGACTTGTTGCTGGTATGCCTCCAGATATGCCAGTATTTGGCAACTGGCTTGAGTGCATGAAGTACTTAAGTAAACTAGACCAGTTACATCGTGGTTCTTCAATGTTCCAAAGAAATGTAATCTATGCAAAACCAAATATTTCTAAAATGAACTAATTCAATTATTTAATTATGATTTATGAATATATTTTAGTGTTTTTTATTATAAATAAATACATAATAAAATGTTATGAAACTGAAGTGCATAAAAATGCTTATTTTTTAAGAATATTTAATTTATTATTATTAATAGGATAAATTGGCTATGACTAAACAATTTTTTTCATATTATTCTTTTTTAAATCCGTAAATTAGTTTTAATACTATATTTCAGTCAATAATTGTATAGTTTGTTAAAAATTGTCTTATGATAAGATTTTTTTAAAAATAAAAAATAAATTCTATCATTTACTAAATATAATTTAAAGACATAGCTCATTGTTATTGAATATATAAAAAAGTTTTACATTTTAGTGTAATATATATAAATATATTTTTTTTTATCAAATTTATAATTTTTTTATTTGTTTTTAGTGGTTTACTTTTGATATGATCAAAGGGTATCCTCCCCAACCTTATTTAAAATATGACCTTTTTGAAATGTATGATTTAAGTGTAACTGTCTAAGAAAATTATTATTAATGCATAGAGGAAAGTGGGGTAACTAAACAAGTTTGGTATTTTAAGCCAAATAAATAAATATGATGCAAGTTATAATAATTATTTAAATTAACACAATTTCTAAAATTGTTATAGTAATTTTAAAAAAAAGTTTTCGGTTTTCTCACAATTCTAACAATTTATTTGAATGACTAGGGGCAAACTGGTTAATGGAGCAATTGTCTCCTAAGCTGCTGTCTATAGGGAACTAAGTAATGAATAGTTTAATTCGGCTTGTAAAATTGATTTTTACCTTTTTTTATAGAGCAAGCACAACTGTCATAATTTTTATGTTCCATGTGCGTGACCTCCTGTAAGCCCCTGATTAGGGCTATTCCACAGAGAGATTGATGGAATATCAGAAGAGTTCATTGGACGACGTTCATTGACGAAATTTTATAACAATTTCTTGAAAGGAATTTTTTTTTTAAATACGTAGCTATTTTTCAAAATCCGATATGTCTCTTTTAAAAATTTTTCAAGAGAGCAAAAGCAAATTAACAATTTCAATGGTGTCTTGTAAAAATTAACATTTTTGAAGTTCAAAAAACAAAATTTCCTGAATGAATGAACTGACTCATAATTTGTTTACACATAATGGATAACATCAACCTTTAAAAAATTTCTAAACTTTATTTTTGTGTTATACTAGCTTTTGGATATGAACCATAGAAATTAAATATACATTTTTATTAACTTCATTAAAGAAATTGAAAAGATAAATTTGATTTTAAAAAATAGGTAATATAAAGTTAAAATTTGTCAAAAATGCATAAAATAACGATAATAACTTCCGTAATAGTTTGTAAATTGATCAAAATTAAATTAATAATAATACAGCCAAATTTTTATTTAAACTATATTAATACCAAACAAATATTTATTCTAATGAATTTAAATACAATAAGTTGACTTATTTAGTTATATGAAATATTTGTAAAAATAACCGTATAAATTTACAAATGAAATACTTCGTCTATACCCAAACATACTTGCGCCGACATAAATTAACAAACTTCGATTTTTCCCTTTAATTTCTAGTAAATTAAATATATTTATATATAAAGTTAATTACATATACTTATAAATATTATAAATCTCTACGACCATATTTTAAAGATAATTAAGCAGCAATTAATTTCTCCAATACTATCATGTTATTAATTAGAGCTATATTGTAAAATTATAATTTTTATTAATAAAGGTGAAAAATAATGTTTAGATGAACTTTTACCAGAAAAAATAAATAACTTTAACATCATAATTAATATTGAGGACCGTATCCAAAATATTTTTTTAGGAAGAACCCAAAATATGAATACATATACAGAGTGATCCACTAAATATGTCTCATGTAATATCTTAAGATTCTTAAGCTATTTTAATTTAAATACTAGTTATAGTTGTCAAAAACGTAGTCAAGAATTGCCCAATCACTCAGACCTATAGATCATGAATATGTTTTTAACATTATTTTAATATCCATTACTATATATCAGTGGCGCAACTACGGGGGTGCTAGAGGGTGCTGAAGCACCCCCAACTTTACTTTAAGCACCCCCAAGTTCCACGTCTTTGTAATTTCAAATATTTATTTATATTCTCAGCACATGACCAAATTTCAGTATAATAAACTTAACATATATGTACAATAATCATATAAAATACAACAATTAATAATATAATAAAGCTGATGGGTCCTTATTAGCAATACTCATCATTCTATAAAATGGCTGGTTTTCTAGGTAGTTGGTATTACATTTAGGTACAGAAAAAAGAATTAAATTAGCAACTTCTATAATATTAGTACTAGTAAACCCATTCAAATTAATTTTTTTAGAAATTGACTGTTGAGATTTACTCTTTCTAACAAAGTTCCAAAAATATTTTGGATTAATACAAAAATTAGATTCAGTCTGTTCAATAAATTTTCTGTAACAATTTTTCGATAAAAATTTGTATTTTGCATGTAGTAGAGAAAACTTTCTGTAATCGAGTGGATTACGTGTTGCCTTAAAAATAGCGTGGGCTTTTCTTTTTGGAACACTGTATCAATCAAATCCTTAGAAAACCATCAAAGAAAATTAGATTTATTATAGTTAACACGTGGAACCCAGTGAAGAATAGAGAAGTGTAATGAATCATACAAAGTTGATGTTGCTGAATTAACGTCTAGTTGAGTAAAAGTATCCAACCAATTATAAGACAGGAAAAAATCTGAAATACGTGTATAATCTGCTTTCGTAAAATTAAAATATGAATCAACGGCATGAAAGAACGGATTTTTTTATTTGTTGGGTAATCAATAGCCAATGCAGGATAATATCGATCTTCAAGAACAATTTGATCGTGCACTATATTAACTTTAAAGAGATTCTTATTTGTAAATATAAGATCTAACATTGAATTGTAAACGTTAAAAACATTATTAACTTGATAAAAGTTTAAGAAAGCAAAAGTCTCAGGAATAGGCTGTTTTCGGTAGCCATTGAATAGAAAATACCTAAATTATCATTAGACCAATTAATATTAGGTAAGTTAAAGTCACCATATAGAATAAAACTATGGGTGCTATAACAACAAACTAGATTTTTAATTGTGCTAGAATAAGTATCATAGGATTGAATAGGAGAGTTAGGAGGAAAATATACACCACCAACTATAAAATTGTCATTATTACAACTAAAACTAACATAAATTTGTTTAATACTTAAATTAGAGATAGAAACAATTTATGAATGAAAATCTTTATGCACAACAATAAGGACACCACCATCTCTAGTACAATTACTCATTAAAATACTTCTATCACATCGGTAAACATTATAATTATCCAAACATAATTCAGAATCAAATATATCAGAATTAAGACAAGTTTCTGTTAAAATAAGAAATACATAATTAAAGCTGGCAAGATTACACTTAAGAGTAAAAAATTTAGTCCTAAGACCACGACAGTTTTGGTAAAAACCGAACGGAACATTATCATTCGACGTAGTATAGCTAATTGTAGGTAAATCACGAGGACAAAACTTATTAATTTTAAAATTGTAGAAATCTAATATAAAAGTACTAAGAGTGGACTTGGCATTTATTATAAAAATATACATGCTCATGCAAACCTAGTGTACATGGCTGAACTATGAAAGTTGAGAAATTTGCTGAATCTCTGGTTGTCGAATGGTATGTTTTCACGGACCCGGTTTTTTGTAATTGATTTGACCACAGATGGAACAACATTTTCATAATATATACGTAAATTTGTTTCACCTTGAGCTGTACGAGACAACAGATCATTGTGACAAGCACGTAATAGTTGTCGTTCAAATTTGGTTTTATCCTTGACAAGATTAAAACCATTTTGGAATTGAGTACCTGACCGCTTAACTTGGTTGTATGGTACAGCAAAAATTGTGCTTCCTCTTTGTTAGTATATATTAGCTAAAGTGGGCGGGTAATACCTGGACGTGGTTTCCCAATCCGATTCAATTTGAGATTCGTTGGAAGATAATTTCTAACCGGCAACAAAATATTTTTAATCATGAATTCATCATGTAGAACTCTCTCAGAACCAGTTAAAGAGGTAGACTCTAATACACCATAAGCAATCACATTGGAAGAACAACGATCTCATTCAAATAGTTCTTGCAAAACCTGGTTAGTGATTGTGGATGGGTTAGCAGACGAGTTGTTCTCTTCAAGACTACTAATTTTTGCCTTAAATGAACCAATATCTCTTTTGAGTATTATATTCTCTGCTTTGAGTTCACTCACTTGCTCAGAAACTTTTAATATTTCTGCTTTAAGTGTATTGAACTGCAAAGATTGCGAGTCAGAAAGTACTTTATTGGAGGTGAGAACTTCAGCTTTGAAGAACAAAATAATTTGCATTAAATCTTCATTAGAAGTAGTACTTGAAGATCTCGTACTAACACCAGAACGGACAGCAACTTTTTTTGAAGTTGCATTGGTTACACCAGGAGAAGACATATTAGAAAAAGTACTCGGGGTTATATTCTTCAAAGTAAGCCACTAGAGGTTAGTCTTTAACAAGTGGAAGAAGAAACTAGCTAATGTTTTAAAGCGTATGTTGATAATAGCAATATTATCAAAAAACAAATTATAAAAAAGATAGTACGACTTAATATACGAAAAGACGTAATTATTAAACTACTTATACTTGCATATAACAAACCAACTAAGATTACCACGACACACAATTGAACACAAAAATATACTTAATACTTTAAACAACAATTGTAAATAAATTATTTGTATATACCAATTGAAATTGTTATAAGGACTGTAAGTAACAAAATCTATAGTATATTTTATAATTATATATTACATAACTAATACTAATTAGTAATTACTGTAAATAATTAGTAAATATGTAATGTGTATGTGATTTGTAATTGTAGCA